CGACCAGCGTCGCCAAAACTGTTGCTGTAATAATTGTACGTACTGCCAACGGGACAACCGATTGGTAGGTACTTCTTCTAAAGATGGCGTTGGATAAGATGTAAGTAGAATACCTATTAGAAAGTGCCCTGGCGTTAATGAACTTAGGTCGTTAGGGTCTGATGAAAGTGGAGTAATTGGACGAGAGTTCAATATTGCTTCGATTTGAATGAGAAATGTTTTTAGTTCTTCATATTTTAAAGTAGAATTTTTCGTCATTCGAACTAAATGGCGTTTGTCTGCCTTTACCGCAGCTTCCCATATACCACCGTGGTGAGGTGCCCTGGGCGGTATAAAGTGCCAATGAATTCCTTTATCTGACAATTGATCGCTAACTTGCTGTTGATTTGTTTGGTTCTTGAGTAGGTTGGATAATTCGCTTAATTCGCGGTCAGCGCCTACAAAATTTAAGCCGTTGTTCGAATAAATATCAGACGAACAACCTCTTCTGGCTATAAAACGCTTGAAGACGTTTAAAAATGCTTCGGAAGATAAGCCGGTAGCCAACTCCAAGTGGATTGCCTTTGTGGCTAAGCAGATGAAAACGGCGATGTAGCATTTTATTTGCTTGGCATTTCTTCTAGTGCCCTTCTTGTAATAGCAGGGACCTGCGTAGTCTACGCCACACTGGTCAAATGCCCTCTTAGGAATGTTGACTCGTGCCCTTGGAAGATTTCCCATAATCGTTGAAGCAGCCTTAGGTTGACTTCTAAAGCAAGTGACACATTTTTGAACAGTTTGTCGAACGAGATTGCGTCCTGATATGATCCAAAACCTTTCACGTATTGCTGCTAACGTGGCCTGTGGACCAGCGTGAAAGTGTTTTTTTATGTTCGTGTCTCACAAGCCTAGAGAATGGATGGTTTCTAGGCAGTAATATCGAGTATTTTGTCGAGTATGGAAGTGTTGCTTCTTTTAATCGACCTCCCACTCTCAAGACTCCAGAATCGTCAATGAATGGATTTGGTTTTAGGAGGGGACTGTTTTTATTTATGGCTTCCCCTTTATCAAGTGATCTTATTTCTGCGGTGAAGTAAATTGTCTGAATTATCCTTAATAAATGAATGATGACTTGATTCTGTTCTTCTGGTGTGATTGGTGAAATAATATGTTTTTTCGTTGTTGAAGGTGCGTGCATATTCTGGGTTTTGGTTTTTGCCTTCCTTGAATTTCTTGCAAACCGATAAATGTAAGCGACCACTCGAATGAGCCTTGTGAACATCGAGTAGCGATTGAAGATGTCAAACTCTTGAGACGTAGCAGTAACTGCGGCGATGGTCTTCGATCTTCTTTCAGGAAGGTCCTTTACTTGTGTAGGAACGGAACTTTGAGGCCATTCTTCTTTATTATCTTTGAGCCACAAAGGCTGTCCACCAAATATTTCGTTGAGCCACTGAGGCTGGCATGATGCCTCTTGACAGAGGATCCACAGGGTTATCTCCACTGCGTACGTGATTCCATGACTGAACAGGCGTTAAGTGTTGTATTTCTTCTACGCGGTTACCTACAAAGGCTGACCAGGTTCTGCTGGGAGATTGTAACCACGATAGTACGATTGTAGAGTCCGTCCAAAGATTGACGTGATTTGTGGTGAAAGGAAGGCATCTTGAGACCTTATTGACGAGTTGTGCTAATAACAGCGCCCCGCATAATTCAAGGCGTGACAAAGATAAATCCTTTAGCGGTGCTACTCTGGATTTAGAGCAGAGCAATCGTGTAGAATGTTCACCATTGACTGTCGTGGAGCGTAGGTAAATGCATGCTCCATACGCAACTTCACTGGCGTCGGAGAAACCGTGTACTTCAACATGAGTGTATTGGTCTGCAGGTATGACGCGCCTAGGTATGACACGCCTAGGTATGACGCGCCTAGGTATATGTATGTCTCGCAGCTCTTATAGCTCCGTTTCGTATCGTTTCCATTTGGTGTTTAACTCGAGAGGAATAGATTCATCCCAATCAAGCTTCAGACGCCAGAGATCTTGGATTATAATTTTTGCTGTCACTGTGATTGGACCTAGTAATCCGAGTGGATCGAAAATTAAAGCAATTCGTGATAAGATGCTTCTTTTTGTAGGCCTTTCTATCGATGGTAAATGAACGATACTGGTGATTTTGAATGTGTCGGACTGACAGTTCCAAGTGATACCCAATGTGCGTCTCACGGATTTTTTGTCCGATGCTAAAATGAATTCTCTGTCCTCTTCCATAGATTGCTCATCTTGGAGGAATGATGCATTGGATGCCCATTTCCTCAACTCGAACTTTCCTTCTTGCAATAGTTGAGTGATTTCTTCCTTGATTGAGATTGCTTCCTCTTCGGTATTTGCTCCTGTGACCAAATCATCGACATAGAAGTCTCTTAACGCGATTTTTGATGCAATCGGATATTGTTTTGAATAGTCTTCGGCAAGTTTCCTCATAGCTCTGATTGCTAGGAACGATGCAACAGATGTACCGTATGTTACGGTAACTAACTCGAACGTTTTGATAGGTTCGTCTGCTGAGTCCCGCCACAAGATGCGCTGCAGGGCAGTTTGAGTTGGATCTATCAATACTTGCCGATACATTTTGCTTACATCCGCCGTGAGGGCGATAGGAAATGTGCGGAATCTCACTAAAATAGAAAAGAGATCTTCTTGCACAGTGGGACCGACCATTAATGCGTCGTTCAATGATATACCAGTGGTGCTCTTGCATGAGCCATCGAACACGACTCTAAATTTGGTAGTGATGCTTGTTTCATTTTGGACGGCATGATGAGGAAGATAGAATGCTTGATTAGTTGAGTCGGGCCCCAAATAGTTGGTAACTTCTTGCATGTGCTTCAAGTCTTGATATTCCTGCATAAATTTCTTGTACTCGCTGTACATGTCGGGCTGGGCTATGAGACGTTTTTCTAAAGCCATAAATCGTCGTAGAGCAATCTCACGAGATTCTCCTAGAATGCTTAGCTTGTCTTGTTTTATTGGGAGTGTGACGACGAAACGTCCTCGTTTCGCCTTACGCCTTCTAGAAACAACTTTTCGCAGGCTTGTTGTTCACTTGGAAATTGTTGTTGTGCTATGTTGTGCTCAACTTCCCAAAATCGATTTAGTATATTACTTAGGTCATCTATTGCCGTTGAATGAAAACTAACCTGAGGAGTTGGTTTAGCTGTGAAATTTGTCGTAACGCCTGAAATAATCCATCCAAAATGTGTTTTTTGTAGAATTGGTACATTATTAGATTGTCTGATCTGACCCGCGCACATGATTCGCCAAAATAGTTCTGCATCTATCAGCATATCAATGCTTGAGGGTACATTGAAATTAGGATCTGCTAATTTTATATTATTTGGAATAAACACATTTTGCATGGGTATAAAGTTCTGAGGTAAGTTTTGGGTTATCCTAGGTAATATTACACAATCTATGTTGTCGCTAAAATTATTGAATCGCGATTTGACGCATACATTAACAAACTTATTTGCTTGAACTGTTCCTTCCATGATTCCCGCTACGGAGATCTCAAGTGATCGTTCTTTAAGCTGCAAGCGATTGGCATGTTCTTGTGTTATGAAGTTCATTTGAGAACCACTGTCAAGTAGTACACGACATGAGTGAGATGTGCTGTTTGAGTCGTATACGTTTACAATTGCGGTAGATAATAAAATGTTTAGAGAACGATGACTTGATGTACATTATGTAGATACTGGAAGAGGAACATTGCTGTTTTGATTTGAGGTGCTCAATGAATTTGGTGTAGATTGTTCTGTTTTCGCGTTGGGTACGGACTGTTCCGAAATGTTTAGATTAGATGTGTGTAGCAAAGTGTTGTGTTTCTTACTACATTTGCGGCATGTGCCTGAATTACATGATTTTGCTTGGTGTGTTGTGGACAGTAGACAATTAATACAAAGGTGGGCTCTTTTCGTGACCTTAAATTTGTCCTCTACTGGCAACTTGAGAAATTCTTCACAGTGATAAACTTGATGATTAGCCTTACAACATGCACAAGAGAGATTGGAAGTAGCAATGTTTGTGACTGAAGTATTTTTTGGTTTGCCGACTTGCTTATGAACAGCATTACTTGTCTGATTATTAAGAGCCCTACTTTGTATAGATTCTAACGCTTGACATCGCTTCGACAAGAAATCTGTTAACATTTTTAGGTTAGGTTAGGTATGTTTGCATCGAGAATACTAGTCTTCCACGCCTTATTGGTGGGTACGTCAAGTTTAGAAGTGATTACGTGGATAATTAGATCATCCCACGTTTCGGTAGGCCTCTTAAGAGCCTTAAGGGCTCGCAAGTGTTTGAGGATAGTGTCCAGCAGTTCTCGGAGAGCTGCATGATTTTCCTTGTGGAGAGCAGGCACGTCAAATATTGCCTGAATGTGCCTTTGGATGATCCATCGCTTGTTGTCGAATCTTTCCTTGACTGCTGTCCAAGCGTCGTGATAATTGTCAGTCGTCGTCTCTGCAGTCTTATCCTTTAGTGAAGACCGGAGATAATGGAATTTCTCGATTTCGCTTAAACCTTCATTTAAATGGATTAGTTTTTCGAATGTGTCTTGGTAAGAATACCAATCCTCGTAAGAACCTGAAAAAACTGGTAAATTTATTTTGGGCAGCTTTACGCGAGTTTCTCTATTCCTTGTATCGAGTGCATGTTCATTATCGGAACGGGAAGATGTTGGAACTGAGTTTTGATTAATCTGCTCAATTATCGTTTCATAACGTACTATTAACTGAAAATAAGGATTTTCGAAACTTTCCCGGTTTGTGATTGCTGGGCACGGAGAGCGTCCTTGTCAGCGTTTGCGGGATCAACGTTTTCCAGACTTTCGATACGTGACTGAACCGCGTCGAACAGGGACCATAATTCTTGTAACTTTTTCTTACGTTCAATAACTTCGTGCCGTGATGCATGATTTGGATCAAGATTTTCTATGAAAGTTTTTAGCCTTGTGGCTGCTGCTCTTACTTGGGCTCTTTTAGCCTTGGCTTCCGTTAATGTTAACGCGTCCATTGTGAGATGCTGATTCTCGTGCGAGATAACTTATTGATTGCCTTGTAGACAATGCAACTTGCTCACGCGAACGAAGTTGGTGATTCGAGTTTTGGTTTGGTTATGCTATGTATGGTTACAACAGTAAACTTAGCGCGAAAATAGTGTTGATATAGTAAGTGATAATATTTGAATGTACTCGTTAGTGTAGTGATATGACAACTAACCTTTCTAGCTTCGTCGTTTTTGTTAGCGCGAGTGCTATCTTTATGCTATAACCTCAAGTAACCGCGAGATGTACTTACAGTGCGTTTGGTTGTATATCCTTTATGCTTGTGCATTAACCTATGCCTTGTCGACATCGATTATTTTATGATACCCGTTTGTATGTATGTATCTATTTCCGTAATCCTCGGTATTCTCAGTATCTTCTCAATCCTCCATAACCGGCTCGAAGGACCATTATGTTACTTATGAGGGTTTGTGCCTCTTGCGTTAAGTGTAACGCGCCTTTTCTCATTCCCAATGCCTTGTGGCTGTACTGCGTGGTGCACTATAGTAATCGATGTGAATACCGCTTGAGAGCTAAATATCTTTATTTGCTGTACCAGAAAAGAGCTTAGTATGCTCGTACGGATGAGAAGACAACTGTACAGAAAACTTTTTTAACAAAACATGTTGGCGTTCTCCCTTTACAACAACGGAACCGAACTTAAACTGTGCAGGATTCTGCGCAGCTAATACGAAAACACACGAGAGGTGACGAAGGCGCTCGAGCCGATCAGGCGACGATCTAGTAATAGCGCGACGCGTTCCGATGACTAGAAAAGCGAGGTAGCTTACAGCGCGACTAGGGAATTTGCTTGTGGCGGAATTACGAATCTTACATGGCGCGAATAAAATAAATTTAACTTGTTGACACAGCGTGTACATTCGCATTTATACGCGGATATTCTTTTATCTAATTTTGCATTTAATTTAGCTTTACTTTTAATGTGCTTTTCTTTTCCTTCTGTATGATAAACAACACAAAAGTGTAAAGTGTGGGATATAGAGAGGTATTTCCACGTGAATGTCATCCGGCACAAGTCGGGGCCCCTTTTTCTTTTTCTATGAGTGAGTTTCCTTATTGGTTGGCCCTCCAAGGGCTCCCCTCCTCTAGTCATGCCTCAAGGGCAGACTGTTACTTCCCAGTTTTAGCCGGGATTCTCGTGTTTTAACATCCGTCATCATGGTGCATCTCGTCGGGATTTTTATAGGTTAATCCAAAGGAATTGACGAGTGCGAAGTTAATTTATTAGCCGTCGCCATTATTCAGCAGATTTGGCGAGTTGGAGATGACGGACAAGGTAAATTCTTCAAGAAAGAGAGAAAAATAAATATATTGTTATATATATTTTTTTTTCACGTTTAATGATTAGAGGGAGGTTATTAGTAAAGGAAAACTCGGTTTCTTTAGCCTCGACAATCAGGTGAAAAATTTTTTTCCCTTTTTTTTTTATAATAAATTTATGTATATTTTTCAAAGAAAAGGAAAGCATGTAATTAATTATTTGAATTTCGGTGGAAAAGGAACGTAATTTTAACATAAACAATTAGAGACTATATGTATCTTATATCATAGATATTATAAAATTGTTGTTAATAATTAAAATATTCATATATATATATTGATGAAATTATAGACTAAGTTTCAAAATAACTCAATTTGAATGGGCTTAAGTGTGCATAAAGAAGCAGAAAAGAAAATTTAAATCTCCGTTTTTCTTTCGTACTCCTGATTGATTGTGTATATGACAATAACTTAGATATTAAACACTTTTTTTTTTAAATATATTTTTGGGATTTATATATACCTTTTTTTCATTATTTCATTAACATACATATACCCTTTTATTAGAATGTAATTAAATCATATGTTCTTAAGTCTTAATGTGGTTCCTAATATTATTTTATCGCTCGGTTTCTATAATTTTCTTATTCTTAAATTATACAGTTATGTATATATATACTTATATATGTGTTCATTTTTCTCTTTCCTTTGCTCGCGGTATTGTCAAAGGAAAAGCTATTTACGAAACGCCAGGTATCGGATTGCGTGTTAGTGCCTTAGGCCCACTGGCAGTCCCCACCCTAAATCCAAGCGTACCTTGATATTTGCATTGATATACTGAAATTCTGAGAGACAGTCAGGACATTCTTCTGCTTTTTTAGTTATGGTCATTACTTTATTACAGTTAATATTATACATTTTGCTTGTTCAAACATTGAATCCATATGGACTAAATGATGCATGAACACAGGCAAATAATTGGGTCTTAAATTGGCAGGCTTGCATTTATAGCAAATTTGGCAAATCTTAGATCGATTACCAGAATGTTGGTACATCGGTCGGTTCTCCCATGTAGATACATCGGAGATTTGTTAAATATTTATAAGCATACCAGTAGTGTTCTCTGGTCACTATGTAAGATTCGGTTTCTTTTTCATGGGTGGCTCGGCACAGACTGTTGCACCCTGGCATCTCGTATATGCTGTAACCGATGATTGAATGGTTTAAAAGCTAGAACATATATATGTGTATATTTCTAATAAAAAAAAAGTATACAAATTTCTTGAATTTATTCTAATATATATAAATTTTTTTTTTTAAGTAAATAATTATAACTACGTTATACTACCTACTTCTAAGAATCCTATATATTACTTATATTGCTAGGAGTTTTTCATTTGATTATTTCATTACGGTTTGTTATAAAAATTATCTTAAAGAAGCTTATGTTTATCTTAACTAACTTATAATACGCCGGGTATTGTTGGTAACATTTCTTCGTCGGTATGTTGAGCGCATTCCATTGAAATGAGCAACTCTTTTAAGCTGCTCATTTCGTCCTCACTCTCGCGCTTCGGTTCAAGAGTGATTACGGCGGCTTCATCTGCTATGCTCCCATGAATTCGCATTCATCCCTCTCTCCTTTCCAGTAGTAGTCTGGTGAGCTCCCTACTTCTCCGGGGCCATCTCGATCTTGCTCCAACGGGACAAAGATGAGCAAGCCCGCAAGGGATGGCTTGCCAATTTAACTCACGAAATCTGTCCTCCAATACATGCATGTCCGAGATTGGACGCTGGATGGTACGGCCCCAATCTCGCAATGCGACAGTAACCATATCCTTTCTCTCGAGACGGACTACTATGCCCCTTTGCCATGTCTTTCCTTCTTGGACAGCTGCTAACTCGTCGGGTAATACATGCTCAGGATTGTGGCGTAGGAGTCGCCCCCTGCGTGCCATTCTACGCGTAAAATCCTCCAGGAGTTCTTCGAGGTCTTCACGGCCGTGTTCAAGCTGGACCCAGAAGAATGTAGGCGAATTTACTTTGATGACCCTGATTTTCAAGGGCCCCCGACTCAGTTCCCTAGTGTTGATAAATCTGATATCCATTTCTACAAATAAATGTTGTGTGTGGTTTGATACGGAATAGATTATAAATCCGCGATTTAAATAAATAGATCTGCATGACGTAGCATGCGACTGAAATAAAACGAGTCAGCACGACGTAGCATGCGATTTCAATAGG